AGAAGTTGCTGAAACGTCCCCCTTTTCTGCACCTCCCTTCAAGTGGCGAACTACGTGTGGAATTTTATTCTCCAGTTTACTCGGATGAAAGCCTTGAAGCGCACGTCGCCTTCCGTTACAGCGCGTCGGCTGAGTTTTTCTAATATTAAATATTTTTATAAATGAACACCTTAAATAAGTTGCAATTAACAGACAATTAAGTTCAAACGAGGGTTTCATTAGACGCTGATGCGTATGCCTGAATCCTGGCTTCGTGAAATACTTACCGGCTCCGAAACGCAACGCGACTGATTTATTGCGTTTGCAAAAAAAAATTTCATTTTAAAGTTCTCGTTAATCCACGCGACAGCTGTCATCCCTACCCCCTTCTACCCTTCATATATTTGGTCTCGACGTATCGCGGAACCGCTCGACATGACGGCCGCGTTGCGGCTCGCAAAGTTCGTTTTGGTCGCTTCTTGCCGAGCCGCGAGCGATCAGCAACGTCCGCCGGTAGCAAACTTTCCTCGTTATACCCCGGGTACTCGCGACAAGTACAAGTCTTCGGGGGAGGCGGCGCGACGCGGCGGCACCCGTCATCGCGTGGTCTGATGAGAACCGCGGGGCGGCGAAAACTTGCCGCGCCGCGCCGAGAGAATAGCGGGGCGGCCGAGACGAGCGAGGGGGAGTCGCCTCTTTTTTTTTATCTCGATGCTGATCGACATCGATCGATCCTTGCCTCGCCGTCGTCGGCTTCTTCGTCCCGTTCGCGCGCCTGCCTTCCTCCACCCTGTACCGGGGGGCATTACCGAACTCGCGCTCGTCGTTTCTTATCGCGCGCGGCGCCTGCCGCGGGAACTGGATATCGCGTTACGTTGCAAAAAGCAAATCGTCGAGTACGACGAGAGTGACATGCCAATTTTTCAAAGTGGAACGGTGTATTTTTATCGCTATAGAGGAAAGTCCCTTATTATGAGACAGGCTCCTATTATGAGATAGCGGCTTCCTGCTGAATTAACAGGCGTTATTTTACGGTTCCACCGCGAATTTATTGCCTTTGAAGTGAAATTTGTTCGGTGGAAAAGTCATTGTTAGATCGTGTAATCGTTGCGAAAAAAGAATCACGATTGAATTTGGATGTTGAAAACCTGCTGTCTCATACTGGGGAACTTTCATTTATCGTTGGATGCTGGAGTGATTCTGCACTTTTGCACCTATTGCACTTGAAACTGTCTGTTTCGTGGAAACATGCGTGTAATATACAAATAAAATGGCTTACGTGTGCAGATCGAAAGCAGCTTGCTATTGCGGCTAAATTACAGAACAATATGGCATCGCTGAAGCTAACAATAAGTTTGTAGGTCTAATAAGAAATAATAGTGAGCAATACACACATACAGTACATGTAGTATGTGTGTTGCTCTCACTATTATTTTTTCTTAGACTTACAAACTTAGTTTCAGTGATGCCATATTGTTCTTTCATTTAGCCGGAATAGCAAGCTGCTTTCGATCTACACACGTAAGCCATTTAATTGGTATATTACACAAATGTTTCCGTGAACTAACAGTTTCTAGATTAGAAAGGTGCAAAAGTGCAGAATCACTCCCAGCATCCCCTTAAGTCACGATGTTTCGGAAAGTATATATGTCGCGCATCGTTTAAATAACCCGTTCGTCTCTCGCGAGCTCGTATCGCTGGTAAATCCGCGTCGAGTTTAAAAGTGGCGCGCCGCGCTTGACTCATATAATTTTGATAGAGCCGTCTCGGGTATACATATCCAGTAGCCGCATCCCGTCGCCGCGTAATCCTCGAAAGGGCCGTGCGTCTCGACGTGCGGCGGGATTATGCCATCTTGCCTTCTCTGACTTTTTATTCGGAGATGCGAGATACAAACCGGTGCGGTCTCCCGGGAGACGTACACGTCCATACGCGGCTCGCCAGCTGCCGCCGAGAAATACGCGCGATCGGCACGTACGTCGTTATTTCTACACACGTCGTGGATTACGGACGAGGTGTAACCGTCAGGGCAGATTATCCGGAATTGCTGTGGAACGCTACCGGCGATCGTACTGACAGTTTCGTGTCTATTAAATGGAGTGTGCTCATATCCACCCCGAGAGAGAGAGAGAGGGAGAGTGGGTGTGAGTTTGATTCCGACAAATTTTCGCGGCTAAACTCTCTGGTCGTACTTTATTCATTTAATAACGGGCAGCTGAGTAAGACTCTTATTAATATTAATTAATTCGTAATATCGATCAGCTTTTATGATAATTATTCATCCGTTTGTTCATTCGTTACGTTCATTTGTTACATCGCTGCGATAAGAACGTCGCGCTGGTAAAATCATATAGTTAGGGACTTTCCAAAATAGTTTCAAATAGGTGTTTTTTTTTTAATATAAAATGTTCTTTGAAACATGATCCACTGTAAATTGAACAATAACATCTCTTCTAAAATTTGGACCATTGCGCTATATTGGATGAATCTAGATTTCCGATTGCTTGTATCCTATTTGTATCCGAGAAAAATCAAATATGTACGAATTATTTCCGCAGACAAAATCTTTATAAATAAATGGTAAGTAGGCTACGTAAACAAACGCTGTCAGACATCGGACGTCAGCTGACGTTCGCCTACAAGTTTGCCGACACTTCTACTAGAAAAAAAACTTCGGGTTTTTTTTTCGTGCAACTTTTCCCTCGCGCAGCTTTGCGCGTTATCGCCTCAAGGCCTTCGATTGTAAAAAAATCTGGTCAAAGTTACCGTCCATTGCGATGTGATGCGCTCCGTCCCCGCGGGCGGCTTCGGTTCGCGGCTTCCCTCTCCGGAGGATATGACGTCATCCCCTGCGCGATGTTTGCCGGTGGCGATAAATGGAAAATAAAAGGAGAACCGCTCGTCGCCCTTGTCCGAGCGGCCAGCAGCCCCGGGAATAAATCACGATCGAATTGTTCTCCGAGAGAGAGAGAGAGAGGGAGGGGGGGGGAGAAAGAGGAACAGAGAGAGGGTTCTTCGGCCCTGAATGTCAGGCAAGTCCCTGCCGGAAATTAGAATAACGCGAGAGACGAGTTGCAGCAGCATCCCACCCTCAGGCGAGGCGTATCGTCATGGAAATGCATGTCCAATTTACTACGCCTATTTGTTTGTGATTCATCACAATTTTCACTTTAGCCGCTAAAAAGTGCAGTTTCCGTAAAGGACGTTAAGTACTTTTAATGAGTTACACGAATTCGTGGTTGGCGTTTCCGCGATAAAACTTTCTCAAAAGACAAAAGACAAGGTAAATCTTGTCCAAATGCTTCGTTAATTATTTTTGAGTGCCCTGCAGTCTGCTGCGAGGAGAGAAAAAGACTGTCTCTTAATTCGTGAACTGCGCTAGTTCGACCGCGACCATTCGTTAAATGCTCTCGGGTGCAGGGAAATCGCGCTCCACGCTTACGAATAGGAAATCGTGTAGATCCGAGTTTCCTTTTTCAGAATGATATTGTTTAACCACGGCGGGCCGAACATCGGAACACGGCGTTGTACAGTACATTTCCATTCGTTGCGCTCGTCGAAACGGGGGTGGCAAGTCCGGATTTTCGTTTTTGCAAGTAATGAAGCCGAAAAGAGGATACGTACACGTAACGGGCGTAACGTCCACTGCCGAAGCCATGTCAAATAAAATGGAAAAAAAATCAAATGTCAAATAAAAGAATTAGTGCCGTTACGTTCATGCCGCGGAGCCGGTCGATCAGATTTTCGCCTGCACGCCGCGCGCTCGTTCCCCCTCGATTTTCGGAAACCCTTCGGACGAGAACGACGATGTAATTTCATTACGCGTCAAATCTATCGGTCTTTTCGCCCGTTCGGTTCCGACCCGCCGGCACTCGCGCACCCACGGGGTGGTCCGCCGTCACCGGATGCCCTTTCATCACGCAACCGCGTGAATGAAGTTAGGATAATGATAGATTTGTCCGCGCGCCGTGCCACGTGTGATTACGCAACTGCTTAACGTTGAAACTCGGATCGTCACGAGATACGAGGCGGGTAGAATTGCACGCGCAGTCGTTTATAAATAAATTGCGATATCAACAGCTGGAGGGCTACGAAACTACATGTGACAATGATTATAGTCCACTGGTTCGAATTTATCCCTAAATATCTATGAGCGAAACACGGAGTCGACGCACCCCATATAGCTGTCGCCGAAGTTTATCCGCGGGCGCAATCCCGAAACTCATTTTCACCGCTATGGTAACACTTCGTTAGCGATAACGCTCGGGCTGTACAGGGTGTCCGTGGTGGTTTTACTCTCTAAACGACCGGCCCCGGGGTAAACATTCTTCCGCGTAAACTTGGATACTCGGAATCTTCAAATGGACATTCTCGTTTTGCTATAAAGATCCTCTCGCTGCTGTGGAGCACTGCGACGGCGGTTAGAGGATTTTGTAAGAGCGACACGCGCTCTTATCTAAAATCGCACGTTCGAAGCGCGCAGAACATGTGTTACGTAGCTACATCCAGAAAAAAAGTTTGAAATGAAACAGATTCGTTTGAATTTCCACCTCGTTAGACTTTTATTTAATTTCGAAGAAATGACCTCTTGGCCAGGATTTAATTTGATTGAGACTGGAATTTCTAAGAGAATTCACATCTTTCTTCAAATCTAGCAAATTATTTTACTAAAGGCAGATAAAAATTTAGTACATTCAAAGAAATGCGATTTCAGCGTGTCTCATTCATTTAACCTAACTAAATCTTTTTTCTGGGTGTTGCGAATAAATAACATTTTCGTACACTTTGAAGCGTGAAACACGCGAGGTGACTAGTTCGCTCAGCTCGAACGACTCGTTTAAAGATTTAAGCAAGCTCGGTTCTTTTATAACGTAGCTGTAAGACAAGTTGAAATACTTATCCCCGGGATACATTTTTCTTGTTCGACGACCGTAACTGCGCCTGCTGTTCTCTCGCTAAGAGAGAATTGAACGTATTTCAGGTATACGTACGACTTCATAGTTCCGTTGTTCGTGTTTCAGGTCCACCCGGTGAGCCGGGTCCACCCGGAAAGAGGGGCAAGAAAGGGAAGAAGGGCGATCCCGGAGAACCCGGTGCGCCGGTGAGTTGCCGATACTTCGCTATCGTGCGAAGTGTGTGTGCGCCGTATATATATATAATATATATATCCGGTATTAGTGCACTGAGATACATCGCACGTGCAGTTGTGTGCGCGAGTGTGTTTATTAGGGAGTGCAGCAGCTCCATGCATGAAGTAGTAGTTAACGGTACGCGTTATGTTACCTCCCCTGTCCCCCTTTTCTGGACTCGAGACTGATAACGAGTACACTGATTGTGAGTGGTGACTAATGTACGCACTTTTGCCAGAGACTTGTGCACACGCGCGCCCGATAAGTGTCGGTCTACAATCTTGCTTTAAGTAAGCCGTGAGCCTTAGGCCGTAAGAAATTAACCAATCACAGTTGAGAGCGAGGGGAATAAATGTCTGTGATAGTTAATGTCTTACGACTTAAGGCTTACAGCTTACTTAAAGCAAGGTTGTAGACCAACGCTATGCGGCGTCTACAATGAGATCTTTAGGACATAAGAAAATGACCAGTCGCAGCCGATTATTCTCCTCACATTCGATAGGTCTTAAAGATGTTATTGTGGACGTCGCACAAGGAGAATTGAAGACATAGGGCCGTCGGACACAAAATTGCATAGCTACATACGCATAGCATAAGAACCGTCTAAACTTGAATCGCCACATTGATTTACATAACATTCTCATTGGTCTAGACGGTCTTATGCTATGCATATGCTAGCTACGCAATTTTGTGTACGACAAGCCATACTCCCGGCGAGGACGGTCGTAAGGTTTAGTCCCAATAGTCTATTAGTCCCAATTAGTCTACAATAGGAGACTAAAGCCCTAAACCCTGAGGCCCGGTGTCCAACTGTTACTTTAGAACGAGACGAAGAACGAATTAAGCTAAGCTTAAAGTATTCTTCTCATTTTCGACTGCGATTGGTCAATTTCTTAGGGCTTAGCGCTTAAATCATCTATTGTGGACTGGGACTAAAGTCAACGGCACGCGATACCATTTTCCTTCCTGGATCGCTTACGAGAGCCAATCGGGATACAGAGTTTTCGATCTGGTGACTTCGGGCTGAATCCTGATTGGCTGTCGTAAGCAAGTAGGAAAAATAGTGTCGTGTACCGTTAGCTTCAGAGAACGAGCCGAGTGACCGTGTGTCAATCATGGCGCGTGTTACAAAATTGTTCTCCGGGTGAAATCAATCTTTTTTCCTCCTCGGGAAGTAGGAGTTTGGTCGACCGCTCCTGCGGGCGTGTCTTCAATTCAGCATAAATATTATCGAAAACTTTCTCGCGTAATTACGCCAGATAAAAAAATTAAATCGCACTCCCGTTGCGGAAGGAGCTGGTTCGGCATTTAATTGGTACTTTCCTGCGGGTTGCATTTTACAAAGAAATATCGATGTCGGATGACTCGGCGATTAAAGCGCGAAGTTACGATAACGTTGTTACTAATGGAGAAACAAATTAATCTCACCCGCGCGATACCAACTTACATTACGTCAAGGAGTAATTAATTAGTCGCAAAGTGCGTACGTGTACAACGACTCACTCACATTTTCGACCCTAATACAGAACTCAAGGGCTACTGTTCTCTCCTTAAACTTTGATTTATTGTTTAATCTTTATTGTTTTTCTTTCCCAACTTGGAACCGTCTGCCGAATTAATTTTCAAAATTACGAGGAATAATGGATTTAAAGGGCCGGATCGTTATCCGCCGGGCTCGATGAGCCACGTCGAAATTTTGCGCCCGTCGCGACGAGCGGGTTTCTACCTTCGGCCTGCAGCATCGTGGGTGTTCCAGGAGCGCGCGCGATCGGATTTCCCTCGCGATCGCCGATCGAGCGAGCGCATCGTCGCGCGAGCGAAGATCAGGATTGGCGGAGCACCCAGCGGAACGGGGAGGGAACGGACCGGCACGCCGGCGTGCGTGCGCGCGTGCTTATACGCCCGTGGAATATCTAATTGGCCGGAATAATTATCGGCGGGCGGCAGGGTGTACGCGTCCTTACAGCCGGGATCCGTGTATATGCGCGTACACGCGTATACGTGTATGCGCGCGAGCGGGACCGATAATATCGCGGGCACGATCGGCCGGTCCGCGAAATAATCGCTTTTGCATGCGCGCGAGAGAGTACCCTGAGTAAATCCCCCCCCCCCCTCCTCCCTCTCCCGTCTCCTCGTGTAAACGAGTTTTTAATTTTTTATACCCCTTCTTACAGGGTGTGGCCGGGACGCCGGGCAAGAACGGTTTTCCGGTATATTATTTTTTATTTTCTTTCTCCAACACTCCTTCTCGCTTCTATCTGCCTGCGTACGTCTGTCTTGTCTGTCTCGTATCCTCGCATTTGCATGCGTTTCTCCGCGTCTCTCTCTTTCTCTTTCTCTCTCTCTCTCTCTCTCTGTCTGTCTCTTTCTTGCTGTCGCGTCTCTTAAACACCACGGGCTCTCAGCACACCATACGCATCGAACATAACAGCCATTAAGTACCATTAATGCGTATCATGTAGCCGCTGATATGCGACTTTTGCTCGTATGACCTGCTTCTTTATCCGCGAGCCGTCTCTCGAACTGGATCCTCTTCCGGCTCTCGAGAGATATAAGCTGTTCATCTCGATTTTTGTTCTCTTTTTTTTTTATATGTATCACGTGTCGGCGCGACTCGTACGCGCGACCAGAGCGCGAAATCGGACCCCGGCATTCTCGCCTGCAACATTGTATCGCGCGTCGCTTTGACGACTGAAGGTGCAACTGTTATACGCGTCTGGTGTACGAGGAAACGGGTTAATTGCATTCTTCGCTCGCTGCGAGTATCACTCCTCGTTTTAATTGCTGGCAATCTTGAGTCGCCTATCAACGTTTCCGATTTACCAAGTATCACGTTGTCGTTCCGATGAAGCTGTAATTACCGAACAACTGGAGACCCGCGATCGATCGGTCCATAGAGAAATGAATATCTCGAGTGGCACTTGGCGAAGCGTTCGTTTTAGTAGAATTTAGGTCGTGTCGGGAGGTGAAATTCTTTCGCGGGAAATTAGCCCTTTCCAACGTTGTACGCGCGAATTTGTAAAATTCGATGAATCGATAAAGGGAGCCGTTGCGCGTCTCCTCTCGTTTGAATTGCGCGTAATGAGAAACACGCAAATTAGATAGAAAACGTAAAATAACTGACATTTATCTGTCGAGTCTGATTAATCACGGTAGCAACGATAACGAAAGAAATTCAGTATAAATTGGCGCGATGGCGAAACAGCAATTTCGAGATATGACCCGGCATCAAATATGAAAGTTGCCCCATCAGGATCGAAGCTGCGCGATATTAAACATTCACGTGTGCCGAATAAAATTTTCTATTAACAGCGCTTCCTCCCGCGATTCTCGCTCGTCGCGAACGAGAGGATCATGCGAATGCACTTTTGTCGCGCCTGGAAGCATAACGACTCATCATCACGGTTCTGGTTTGTCGCGCTCGCCTCGTGTTTATTACATGTTACATACACAAGGAATGAGATTTCCAAGGGCTCGCTCGGCCCGCACGCAATTTTTCACTTTTCTTCGTACGTCGTTACGGACGCGTGAGCGACGACTGGCACTCACTGGCGGTGTTCTTTCAGGGACCCATCGGCTTGGACGGGCCCAAAGGTGATCCGGTAAGTTCACCGCATAATTTACATTTTAATTTAGCCGCGGCGCTACAAGCGTGCGAAATTAATTGCTTCGTGAAAAACGCGCGAGGCGATATTTTATTTCGCGACGCTTAGCGTTCTGAGAATAACATTGTTTGATAGAATAATGGTTATGGGCGTCGGAGGGCTTTAATCATAATATATATCGTGCGGCGAGAAACCTGTTTTCGAAATTTATGCATACGCGAGGTGTCATCGTAATAAATCCGACAATTTCTTCTTTTTACTCGCGATCGCGCGGATACCGCCTGGCTGCGTGGATTTATGACATTTTTAACATATTTTATTTCATCAAATCGATCAGAAAAAAAAACGCGTTAAAAACTGCGAAACAATCGGCTCGCGATTAAATGTACGAGATACGCCTGGAATCTCTTGCCTGACGGAACCGTCGATATCGGACGATCGTTCGTATACATTTTAATCGACGCGACATAAAATTAGATGCCTTATCTAGATTTCCTGTCCTAATTGCGCAGCTGCGAAACGGGGTCGCTAGAGACATTTTCGGAGCACCTATTTCACTGTTCTCGAATACGAGAGTGACAGTTTATTTAAATGGCGTGCCTCTCCTCTTTCTTCCCAGTCGATTTAGTTAAATACGTACTTCGATTTTATATACAGAAGGGATCTCGTCGGAAAAGATGACGATCGAGGAGGCAACGAAATCGTATACGCTCGAAATGACGGACGTAAAGATAATGACACGAGAGAGGGGAGGGGGGAAAGCGAGAGTGAGAGAGAACAAGAATTTTGATATCGAGTTTCCGTCAAACGCAGCTGTTCCTAAAAGGATGAAACTTTTCCGGTCTACTTTCGCATTTCAGCAGGAGTCGGAGTAAGATACTTAGTCTTGGTATTTCGAGATACGGCTCGATCGGTATTCGAGTTGCGATCTTCGATTGCACGAACGGCAGCGCGTTCGATGGTTGTACCAATCGTTTCGGACTCATTTTTCGGACGCCTGGCGCTCGTTTTTTCCTCGAGGCCCTTGTACACAACAGCTGACGCGTGTTGAACGAATTAGCCGCAAAAATGCAGGATGATCAATCACATGAGTGATAAATTCGATATACCGTACATCTCGCTATCAGGCTCAGTTTTTGACGGGCGCGGATTAAACGCGGGCGGCGCGAATGAAAACGTATATCGAAGTTTAGAATCAAATGGTGGAACATTACGAGCATTCGAGGCAGATATTTTTCGCTGGCATTTATACGGACTCGAATGTCGAAAATACAGCTATGATCGGGAAAAATCGTCGTCTTATTGTCCTTTCGACGGAGATTCTGAAGATCGGTCGAGCAAAGTGTCCCTCTGGAATTTTAATACAA